GAATCGGGCCTGACCGCCACTTGATCGGCCTCCCCCTCTAGGGCGACTCCTAGCTGCCTGAGCCCCACTCTAAGCTGGCTGGGCGGGTAGTGATGTAACTGGTGCTAAAGTCATAGTCTGGCCCTTCTGCTAAACCGGGCCTCCCAAGAGGCGGGGACACTGCCTCCTGATATGACCAAGCTCCCCACACTTGTAGAAACCCCGATCAGACAATAGTGGTGGGGAATGGATCGGGCCCCGAGAACCAGAATACCCACTAGAAGAACCCGGTGCAGATGAACCCTGAACCGAAGGAGCACGGGACGAACTCTGAGATGGGAGAGCATTGAGAGATGACTGACCCGGAGGGGTACTGTATCAACCATGGCTAGATGATGCACAACGATGAACTGGACGAGTCATCTGAGCGGGACTATAAGGACGACCCCTGTTGTAGTGGGACTGCCCCCGGAAGGGACACCGGTGAAACCACCCGAACCACGAGGCCTCTTGGTCTCTCTCTCCTCATGCTCCTAACTACGGACCATCTCTATCTGTCGGGCAATATCAACCACCTCGTTGAATGTAGCATCGGATACCCTCTCCCGAGTCATAAGCAAACGCAACTGATATGTGAGGCCATCAATGAACCTTCTCTACCTCTCAGTGGGAACCAACCAAACTGTGTGACGAGCCAACTCTGAAAACCTCATCTCGCACTAGGTCACAGACATGCCATCCTGACGTAGCTGCTCAAACTGCCAGCGCAGCTCCTCCCTACGAGACTGTGGCACGAACTTCTCCAAGAAAAGAACGGAGAACTCCTGACATTTAAGTGGTGTTGCACCGACTGGCCTGGCCTCTCATAGGCCTCCCACAATCTGAAAGCATCCCCAGTGAACTGAAAAGTAGTGAACGAGACCCCACTGGTCTCTAGAATACCCGTCGTGCGAAGAATCCACTGGCACCTGTCCAAGAAGTCCTGGGGATCCTCTGACTCAGCCCCACTAAATGATGGAGGTTGGAGTCTCCCGAACTTCTCTAGTCTCCTCTTCTTATCATCAGCCATAACGTGACCCACCTGGGCCTGAGCAGATGTAACCGGCTGGGCTGGTAGTACCCCCGACATCTGAAGTCCCTGCATCACCTGCTCTGGAGTACGGGCGGCAGGAGTCTGAGTACCTCCCCGGCCTGGGAAGTAGCTGATGCGGCCGGAACAGAGACCGCATGAGCAAGGCCAGTGCAAACAGTCAATATATGGGCAAGAGCCTCCTGGAGGCCTGGAATCACAATAGGCACAGCTGGTGCCTGAGCTGGTCCCACCGGCTCAATCACATCTGGAACATGTTCCTGAGCTGGGGTAACTGGTGGATCTGCAGGTGCTGCTCTAGCTGTTGTACTAGCTGCACCTCTGCCCCTATCGTGGCCCCTACCATGACCCCGGCCTCTCACGGCCCTAGCTGATGGTACTGGTGGTTGTCCGTCCTGTCCGGTAGCATATGTCCTCACCATATGTGAGAGAATAGAATAAGAGAAATTCAGTTCTCGGAATCAACAAATCCGCAGGACAAGAATACAAGCATGTGAAGTTTCCTAAGGGTTCGGTAGCCTCTCGAAGATAAGTACAGACGTCCCCGTATCGATCTGCAAGACTCTACTAAACTTGCTCATGATTCATGAGACCTATGTAACCTAGGCTCTGATACCAACTTGTCACGACCAAAAACTAACCCGTCGTGATGGCGCCTATCGTGGTACTAGGCAAGCTGACTATTCAGATATTTCCAACACTTAAATCTTCAAAAGATACTAAAACTATTTAAATAAAGGAAAATCTCTTAAAAATGGATAGCAAATCATAACTCAATACATAAATTCTTCCCAAAATCGGGTGTCACTGAGTACATGAGCATCTACGAAATATCAAAGTCTGGTACATTGTCTAGAAAGTATAACTGAATAAACAAACTGAAAGATAAGGGAGGAGAGTCAAGGTCTGCAAACGCCAAGTAGCTACCTCAATGATCTCCGAAGGTTTGGACTCTGCAAATCAGCAACCGCCATGATCGGAAGCACCTGGATCTGCACATGAGGTATAGGGTGTAGCATGCGTACAACTAACTCAATAAGTAACAAATCTAACATGTGGTCTGAAGACAGCGACGAGCTCAAACAATACAGTAAAGATACAGAGTATAACAATAAAGAAAAGTAGGCATGCTTCTAGGTTCGACAGTTAAGTTTAGCACAGATGAAATATGCCAAGTGTGACTCATAAGAAGAGTATGATGTCTCTATAGCTATATGCAAATGTGAGAACCGTATGTGATGCAACACAATCAAATCCCAAGTACTCACGCTCTCAGAGCACTCAATCTGCCCATCTCAATTCTCGCTCGTCATGCTTAGTTACTCAGCACTGTACGATACTTGTTGCGGCGTGCAGCCCTATCCACATATAGCCATAAGGCTCGTTGCGGCGCGCAACCCGATCCANGTTGCGGCATGCAACCCGATCCACACATATATAGATATCACTCACAGCACGGCACTCAGGCCCCAACTCAGTCACCAATCTCTCCAACCTCTCAGGCTCACAACACTCATGCTAAGCAGCCCTAATCAATGATACGAGATGTGACAATATACGATAACAGAGACTGAGATATGACACGCAATGTTAAATCTGACTGAGTACATAACTGCAATTAAACAGATAACTCAACAGCAAAAAACGACCATTGTGGGTCCTAATAGTACCAACATATAGCCTAAACATGATTTCTAGCATGAATCACAACTCAAGTGCTCTAACACATAGAGTACAACAAACTATTCAGATAAAATAGCTACGCAGTTCCAGGGATTCGATTAAATCACAATTTGACGCCCGCACGCCCATCACCTAGCATGCTCGTCACCTCAGCATAAATCACATAGCACGAAATTCGGGATTTCATACCCTCACAACCAAGCTTAGAAGTGTTAGTTACCTCAAACTGTGCGAAACTCTACTCCAACAAGCCCTTGCCTCGCGAAACAGCCTCCAAATACCTCGAATCTAGTCACAAACAGTTCGATACAGTCAACACGAGCTAAAGGAATCAATTCCATATGAAAATGCTAAGTTCTTAATTAAGAAGTCAAAAAGTTCATTCAAAAGCCGGCCCCCGGGCCCATATCTCGGAACCCAACAAAAGTCACAAAATCTGGAAGCCCATTCATTTACCAAAATCCAACACCAAATTGACACCCAAATCCCCAATTTAAACTCTCCAAATCCCTAGCCTCAACTCCCAAAATTGCACCTCAAAACCACACAATTTAGGTAGGAAAATCAATTGGGAAACATAACTATTGAGTAAATTTAACCACAAGTGACTTACCTCAAGAAAACCATCGAAAATCCTCTCAAAAATCGCCTAAGTCCGAGTTTGCAAAGTCCAAAATAAGGGAAATCATGAATCCTTCGAATTTAAGGGTTCTGCCAAGGGGTCTCCGCTTCTGCGGACAACTTACCCGCACCTACGGTCCCGAAGGTGCAAAAAAATTTCGCTTCTGTGTTGCCCACTCGACCCCCGACCTTGCGCACCTGCGGCCAAAATCCTCGCATTTGCGGGTGCGCTCCTGCGAGACCTCGTCCGCTTCTGCGATTCCAACACTACCATGCCCCTCTCCGCTTCTGCGGAGGACCAAACGCAGATGCGCCTTCGCATCTGCGGACACCTTTCCGCTCCTGCGACGACTGCCCAAATCCTCACCAGGTCGCACCTACGCTTTCCAGCTCGCACCTACGACCAAAGCTCCTCAGGTGCGATTGCACTAGAAGACTCCCAGCTTCGGCAATCTTTCAAACTCCAAATTTTATATGTTACCCATCCGAACTCCACCTGTGACCCTCGGGACCTCCACCAAACATACCAACAAGTCCTAAAATATGATAAGAATTTAGTCGAGCCATCAAACAACATCAAAAACACGAATCGCATCCCAATTCAAGCCTAATGAAAATAAAGAATTCCAACTTCTACAAGCGATGCCGAAACCTATCAAATCACGTTCGATTGACCTCAAATTTTATACACAAGTCACAAATGACATCCCGGAATCCCAATACGAGTCCAATAACCACAAAGTCCATTCTCGGTCAAACTTCTAAATTTTTAACTTTCGCCATTTCAAACATAATTCAACTACGGACCTCCAATTCGCCATCCGGACGCACTCCTAAGTCCAAAATCACCCAACAGAGCTAACGTAATCATCAAAACCCCATTCCAGAGTTGTCTACACATAAGTCAACATCCAGTCAACCTTTTCAACTTAAGCTTCCAACCTTGAGACTAAGTGTCTCAATTCATTCTGAGACATTCCCGGACCCGAACCAACTATCCCGGCAAGTCACATAACAACAATTAAGCAGGGAACGAGTAGTAAAAGTGGGAACGGGGCTACAACTCTCAAAACGACCATCCGGGTCGTTACACAGACTCATAAATAAATGTTTCATCATTTCCATTATAGCGAGAAATCTGTGAAGCATCACCTAAATTTCAATCCTCAGCAAAATTGTATCAAAGGGGCTGATCAAGTTGCATTGCAGTATAGCTAATACAGGTGTTTCTATCATGGAATCAGTTTAAGTTATGAGCAAAAATCCAGATGGAAAGCAACTTCTAATCAATGTTACTACCTGAATAAACCTAAATAAGTTTGGCCAATTTTTTCCTTTTCCCACAGTGTCGCTTGAGTCAGGTTTCTATCACATTTCAACTCACTTAAACCGTTTAAGTTTTAACTTAAATATGCTCTTTAAGCATTGGACTTAATAGATTCCAGTCTTCAGGGTTAGTTCCTCCACCATTTGATCATGAAAATTTTGTTTTACTTGGCCGCGTACTGCAGCTTATTTTGCTGGTAATCTTTCAAATATAATTCTTCTTCTGTGTTACTAGAAAAGTAATCCATCAACCATTCAAATGTAGAGAAAATACCAAAAGATTTGTAAGGAGAAGAAGAAGTAATCTCAGGAATAGAGACAAAATACATATTAAGGATACACTGATACACGCATATAAAGGACAAAAAAGAAAAGAAAAGAAATTAACGAGTGAAAGCATAAAAAACAGTACAAACATTAATAAGGAGCCCTAAGGGAACAAAAATCACAAGTGGAATAACAGCTCCATAGGTGTGTTTGCTCCCACATCCCAAAATCCCAAGCTTGATCTGAACCACATTGATCAAAGCAAGCATCAAAAACACCGACCCGCAAACAGAACCGGCAGCAGAAACAAGGTACCCGACCCGAAGCGCGTTCTTGTTAATTTGGGCCAAGTCAAGCGAATAGATGGTGGGGAAATGGTGGGCAGATTTAGCAAGGCGAATAGCTTGCTTAAGGCACAAAGCAATGAGGCTAGAAAAGAGGAAACAGCTGAAGGAATAGACGTGGAAGGCGACGAGATCCTCGGCAACCTTGGGCTTCGCAAAACAGTTGGTGTCAGTGGCGAGGCTGTTGTTCTGATCGTGGGGATTCCAAGCTAGTCCGATGAATACTGCTAGTGTGAAAAGCGAGTTGACGTTGATGATGCCGTCTAGGGCTGTAATGTGAATTGTGGTGCCCAGTTTTGGGACAGCTCCCTCGCACATTTTGTGTCCCAGAATCAGATCCCGACCACTGATGTCTTACTTACCTTTGAGTTTTGACAGACTAGGTAGTAGGTATAAGTCTTTATTTTCTTTGGTTTGGATATTGAGGCAATGAATTGAGAGGACGTAAGGGTCTATTTACTTGAAAAAAGGGTTCATTTACTTAAGTGTAAGCCCAAACAAAATGGGCCAGGGCAGACAACCTCTGTAGCAGGCTACCAGCAAAGCGTTCGCATAGCTTTTCTGAAATTTTGACAAGAAGACTAATCAAACACTAAAACGGAATATAAATAAAATGATGTATGTTGATAAGGAGATAGGAGGTAGAATGGTGACAATGAACCAGGAATATATTTAGCTGACAAATGTTTCACCGGCTTTTTCTGTTTGAGCATTTTCGTCAAGTCCTCCGTGATTTTAAATCGCTGTGAAAGATATTGAAAAACCCCTAAAAAATAATGCCCAAAAACATAACTTCCGCCGTTGCCGGGGATCGAACCCGGGTCACCCGCGTGACAGGCGGGAATACTCACCACTATACTACAACGACTGTTTGGTTTTGTTCTTGGATGAAATTGTATTTCTTGAATTCATTATCAGCCTAAGATAACGGGTTTGTGAATTCACACTTTGACATATCAATGAAAAAAGAAAAAAGACATAACGTTAGCGTTCATCGACCCCTTAAAGTTATGAAAAAAACATAAATAGGGAAAATTTAAGAAATATTTTCAGAAACCTAGCAGCAATAGCTATTTTACAGTAAAAAAAATGAAATTAATAAATCTAAAATATAACATGTATAATAATATACATATAGCAGAATATAACCTCATAATTGTGATAATATACTCTGAATAAATTATGTATAATTTGTAATAAACTATATACAAATTACAATAGATAATTCATACACGATGTAGATGACATATAAGTTACACCAGATAATGTACCAAGTAAAACCACGTATATATTAATGTTATATTGTATCATAAATTCTCAGTCATTGTATATATTGATTATGTATTAACATTAATAATAGTGGATAATAAATATATATGTAGAATACATATATAGTATTATAATAGTTAATAATTATGTATAAATGTGTATATACACGATATAATGATGATATTTAGTAGTGTATAAATTACAAAAATAATCTAGTGTGCTAATATACCCAATATAATGATGGTATTTTTTGTATAAATCATAGTGCTATTCTAAGTATATGAATGTTATGTTTTATCATTTTAGTTCCTCTTTAGTGTGTGGTTGAAGAATAAATATCCTTTTAACAGAATATGGCATAAATAAGCGAAATAGAGGATTTTTTTTATTTTGATATTTTTGGTAATCTTTGGTTTATGGAAAGAGAGGGAAAATCTTTATACAAGATGTTAGTGAGAATGAAAATGATTTTCTTAAATGTTGGGTGCTGGCATTTTGGCTTTTAAAATGGAAACGGTTAAAAATGAAAACGATTTCCTTAAATATTTGGTGCGTCATTTGGGGGATTGCAGTTATATAGATTTTTTATAATGTCATATTTGCAATAAAATTTGTTGTTTTTGGAATAAACAAGAAGTACTATTAGTTAAGAAAATAATTTTTATAAAGAGATTATGCGTGTAAAAAAACTCTATTTTAAATATATACAACCCAAAGACATGGTTGAAACTTGAATGTAGTTTAACTTTGACGTTAAACTTCAAAATATTTTTAATCTAAAACTACTTAAAGATGATTGTGATTTTGAACTTTACACTGTTTTTGTTAAAAGGTTTTCATTTTTTTCACAAAAAACTATCAAAATAAAGTTTATTTTTTCGTACTTCAACGGAAACCTTAGGAGTCCCAACAACATACCCAATATAGTGTCACTGCCTTAAAACTTTTTCTTTTACTCTTAAGCAACTTTACGATTTTTTTCATGCTTTAAGCACATGAATATGTTTATTCACTAATTTTGTATAATTCAGTATTATCGAAGTTTCAAGTGGTAACGTAACGCTTATGTGATGTTACTTATTTTAATTTATTTTTCTAGAATATTAGTGTTTTCCTAATTCAGGGTCCTACTCTTGGTAGTTAATCATTCTATCAATAGTCCTAATCCATCCTACAGGAGAAGAATCTATGAGAAAATGAAGCATTCTGTTTTTTTTGGTATCTATATCAATAAAATATTTATAAAAAATAAATTATACTGTGGATGGTGATGGCGATGGCGATGGCTAACAATAATAGTTGTGAGTGCTCATGGCACTGTTGGTTAGCGATGGATGATAGTGGTAATTGTGGATAGTAATTAATGGTGATGATAGCAGACAATAGTGATTAATGATGTTGGTTGACGGTGAGTCTAGTGTGATAGTAAATAGTAGTGGTGGTGAAATGACTTTTTTTAAAAAAAATCCTTGAATGAATAGCATTTTAATAATATTAAAACTATAGATTTTAATTATTCAAACTTATTAAGTGGTTATAAAAAAATACTAAAAGATTGAAATCTAATAATTAAAATTCAAACTTAAAAAGTTATTAAATGGCTAAGAGCTAAACGATTGAGATTCTAAGACTTAGGGTGTGTTTGGTATGAAAAAAAATATTTTTCATAGAAAATATTTTCATGGAAAATGAGTGATTTTATCACTTATTTTTCTTTGTTTGGTTGGTGAGTGGAAAACCTTTTTCGAAAAATATTTTTTAGTGTTTGGTTAGAGAGTCGAATCGCGTTTGTCATCCTGTAGTCAAGGGAGTTTCATCGAAACACTTATAGTTGTTCAAAGTTAGTATTTTGAACTCCTCTGACCATTGACCATGCATATGTAGCAACTTAATTGTTGAGTTGTACAAAATGCATATATTTCATGCGTACAAGGAGCGTGATTATAAAAATGATTAAAATAAAAGAAAAAAAAAATTAAAAAACATAAGTTTCTTTCTCGGATTTACCCCACTCCCTCCCCTCTCTTTATCCCCCTCCCCCTTCCCGTCTTCCCCCAGCCCTTCCCCCATTCAATTTCTTTTTCTTTTTCTTTTTCTTCCCTTTTCTTTCTTCCCATAGCTCTTGCTCCATTTCTTTTTTGTTCCCTTCTCGTTCTTTCCCCAACCCCTTCCCCATTTCTTTTTCTTTTCAAAATATCTTTGATAGATCTGATATTTTGTTTTTGCATGATCTAGTTATTTCTTTGTGTGCCATTATTTTTTGCTTTGTAAATGTTTGTTTTCAGTACAAAATTGTGCAATTTGATTGATAAAATTTTTTATTTTTTATTATTAGTAAAATCATGAAGATAGATTGAAAGTGATGAGTGAAGGAATGAAAATTATCGTAAATAGAGAAATGAGTAACATAATTAGGTTGCTACTATGACTAGCCCGATGTGTTTTGGAGAAGAAGAAAAATGGTGCAGATAAGGTATTTAGGGAGAGTGCTCATGGTATTCTCTGGTGGCCAAGGTGATAGAGACGGAGAAGGTGATGGCAGAGAAGAAAGAATCTTTGACGAAGCTGACAAAGCGGATGAGTTGGAAGCTGATGTGGCAATTGAGAATGAATTGGGTAATGAGGGGATGAAGGGCAACCTGATAGAGGCAAACGCAAGAAACAACCACCCGCAAAGCTAATGGATTATATAGTGAGTGCTAAATAAAAGTGTGTGGGCCAGGAGTTAGTTATATATATCAGACGTAGGCATTGTAGTGAGGTAGGTAAAAAGTTGTTATGAAAATATTCCCTTCTCATCCCATTCCTCTGTATCTCCAATCCCATCCCCTTCTTCTGCTTCTCACCTCCAGCTTTTCTTATTGTCATTTTTTTAGTTGTAATTTCCAGATGGTGTTTTCAATATAATCAAAGTTGTTGCTCCTACTTGCTAGTTTAGTAGCCCTTGCTACAGTCAGAACGGCTCATGTAACAAAAACACAACTGTATGTGTCATATAGTCAAACCATTTTGTTTTCTTTCTTTAAGAAATTTTTTTTTCTATACACACTAGTATTAAATATGGAGAAAAAATGGCTAAAATTTTAGTGATTAAATTATGTTTAGCCAAGATATATGATAGTAATACTCATTAATTAACAATGGAACTAGAGGCCTATAGTTGAATTTGTTTCCAGTGAAAATTAAAGTGCGGGGCGGAAAATGCATTTATAGATATTTCTCAATGTACCACTTTCCACGAGACAACATTAAAAATCATGAAAATATAAAAGAAAATACTATTAATAATATTTTTATTTAAGGTGGGGGTAGGGGCGGAGGTGGGCGGNGATACGAAAAATATTTTCCTCCAATTGGAAGAAAATGAGATGGGAAAATATTTTTCAAAATATTTATGCGGAACCAAATACATCCTTATTGTAAACAAATGAGGCCAAGTAGGAGATTTAGGAGTTGGGTCTTGGTCCCCCTTAAAAATGCTACTGGCAGTTTTTTAAGGCTGCTGGGGAGACCAAAAGCTGCCGTAGGTAGGAACCGTTAATACGTTGGGCAAAAGTTTCTTGCCATAGTAATTCGTTATTAGGACATGTTAACAAAATATAACCATACTCATGGATTACCTCCAGTAAATTAGTATCCAGTACTTCTCAATGTATTATTGTTAGATGAAAGCAATGTGGCCAATCTGCCAATTTTTTGCTGTGAATATTTGTATGAAAAAGGTAAAATGTACAGCCAGCCAACTGTGGGCATTTGGTCTAGTGGTATGATTCTCGCTTAGGGTGCGAGAGGTCCCGAGTTCAATTCTCGGAATGCCCCCTTACCCTCTGTTGTACGTGTTATTTTTAACACGGGTAATTATAAATGTGATGTTTCTAATTACTCTGCTGTTATTTGTTTTCAACTCCATCCCATAAGAACATGCCAATATCAAGGCTCTAATGATAGATCTTTTTTGTTTTCATCTTCTAATCTTCACGAGCAATTTTCTTCTCTTATATATTTGTTTGTCCATGTTCTCAGTTTGACACAATAGCTTGACAGCATAATTGTATGTTATATATTACAAATTGCCTTCCTAAAACAATTATAGTAACTATTTCCTGTGCAAGAAGCAGGAATACAAATTTCTAACGGTTTATACAAGTTATAATTATGATTGCGTGCTTCTCCTGATCTATAACTTAAAAAGGAGAAAAAGAACAAACATACAAACAAACAGAGTGCGCATGTCACACAATGACGGGGCGTGTAAACAAATGATCTCCACTATTATGTAAAAAACAGAGCGTAATTAGTGAAATACAAGAAAGTCCAACAGAAAACTATCTATCAGCTGTCAATCATCTTTTCCTTTTTTCTCTATCATTCCCAAAAATAATTAACTTTAGCTCCACAGATCAGCGGTCTATTGATCGCAGACAATTTCCAGCTTGGAGGGAAGATGGTTCCTTGCATAGCTCTGGACCTTCACTGTTGTTTCTATTCACCTCAGAACTCCTGTTAGAAATTGAAGCAAAGGCCTCCAAAGGATTTCCACAATTCTTAGACTTTGCTTCACAGCCAAGATAATTTGACAAGACTCTCTTCACTCCAAAGCCACGTCGAGCCAACTTATTGTTATTTGAACTGAGAAATGGAGTTCTCTCTCCTCTTGCAGGGCTTATCAGAGGCAAAGGTGAAAAGTTTGGTGTCGCCGAAGATGTTCTATATGGGGTGCCTGAGACAGGCACTGAATATGGGATGGACACCTTTTTGTGGGCAATTACACTGACCGTAGGAACAGATGACAGCTTATCAGATTGCCTAGTTAAGTCGTCTACATATAGTAGATCATCGATCCGTGCCACAATATTGAAAGCCAGACTCTCAAGGACTCTTGAGTAGCTCTCTAGAATAGACTTCCCTACATCCTGAAAAGATTTAAGAAAATTATGGTCGCTAAATGTATGATACAATAGAGAGCGCCAAGAAGAAAGCACTTTTTTCATAAGTAACAAACCTTGTTGTATTGAATCTTGCTGGCATCTAAGGTGGTCTGGCTTAGGCCAGGGACTCGCTGCTTCAGGCAAAGCAGGAGATTTTCAGCTCTCTCAGCAAGCGACTCTCTCTTGTCTCCATCAACCACAAGATACCTTACCATCTCCCAAGATGATTTTGCCGTAGAACGATTTGGATTAGTTGGAGGTCTAGGATGATGTCTTTTGCGCCACACATAGATTGAAGCCTCCACGCGGTTTGCTATCTCTAAAGCAACATGTTCAGTTGAAAGATCAAGGCAATCTAACAAGCACTCTGAAGAGAAATGCTCTGAAGTGATGTAGCGGTAGATGACATCCCCTAGACACGCTCTTCCATTCTGAAGACAAGAAAATAGTCGAAGTCTAGTTGAAATGCCAAGAATAACATAACCATGGACAAACACAAAGTGGAGGCAGACAACACTATATAAATAGGTCAACAGAAAACAGGTTACCACGGAGTTAGCAATTCAAAAGAGATCAAACTGGTGTTCACACTTAGAACTCTAGTAAATTAATGGACAAGTTTAAAAGAATTCTTGCATGATCAAGAGAAAGTTGATATTCCTTTAGCGATGTACCTTTGGAAGAGCATCCAAATATGATTCAGGAACTTCCATCTCAGCTAATGTAATGCTATTTATTGACATGGCAGCTTTCAGTATTTGATTAGCACATTCACGTTTGTGATTTAACTGCTTCCTTGTGTCTTCAAGTAGACCACCATGAGGCACCCTCGGGACAGGCAGCCACCACTTGTCTTCTTGGCGCTGGATAGCTTTCCGAAAAGAGGCTGAACCATCATCCTCTGCTGCTATTATCCCTTGATCCACATACCAAAACTCCGTATTGGTGAAACTATCTAATATTTCCTGCAAAATATAGCAAAGGGATCATGTAAGGATCTCTTCCCTAAATGCAGTAACTGCGACAAATAGGACGAGCAGCTTCTTACAATGAGCATGTTGTCAAGTTTCTGAAGAGCTGGAAGATTAATAAAAAGGTCCGCTCTTGGTCTACTGGTCATGACCTGGAGATAACACAAGAAATTAAATGTGAAATTTCATTTTGGGATGAAATATTGAATAAAGATAAAGCTAATTAATGACGCTTCCTAATGCCAGCTACATAAATAGCACATTAACAAGAAATACATGTTTGAATGTCATGAAAGTATCACACTTCAACTAGAAGGCTCAACTTAACTGGCCCAAGCAAGTTGCAAATATTCTTGAAAACACTTGAAAGAAATACAATTATTCCATGTGAACGTAATTTGGTTTCTTACAGCAATTTCTTAATCCTAAAATGCAGACTCAAAGAATACTAGGTTCAATGAGAACAATAAGTACCTCAAGCTTAGTTCCATCAGGAAAAGTTTGCCAAGATGGTATTAATTCAACAATGTAATCGCTAACAGCAACAAGCCACTCCATCTCTCTTCGCCACATTGATTTCTTTTCCAGAGGCAGAGGTTCTAGTCTCCACAATTGTCCAAATATAGTAGCTACACATGAAAATTTTGTGAAATTAGAAGGTCACAATTCAAAAGCAAAAAATTGTGACCACTCTTACAAAAACAGTAAAAATACACTTACCACATAGGTTGGTTATGGAATTTGAAATGGCCAATGATGTGCCAACTCCTTTCCCACTACCAGACATGTCTTCACCAAGCAACAATTTTGAAAATCTCTCTTTCATCATCTCCAATTCTGTTCAATTACAGAATAACTCAGTAAATTAGCTAATTGAAAGTAAAATTGACCAACTGAACCGCCATAAGAAATTCAAATTTGAATATGAAAAAGCACATTGTCTCCATTTAGCAGAACATATATGGTCTTATTACGCGGAAAAAAGTTTAAATCACTATAAAAACCCAAAAATGGAAAAGCATAAAAGAGAAGAATCTCTTCTTTTTTTCTTTCAAAAAGCAGTTTTTTACCATAAAATTTAAATGTGGGCATTTTAAAAAACAAACCTGAAATTTTTGAATCAAGCTCACTGACGGTGGAATTACGCACATCTTGAGCTGCATCTTTAGAGGAAGACTTGGTCATTTGGACCTTGAGAATAGGCCAACCCAAAGGAGCCGGTGAAGAACAACAGTCCTTTCCGAGCTTGCTCTCATCAGAACTGGATCGGCTCGACCCCGTACTACTACTACTCCCTTTCGACACCGAGTCACTCAATGACTCTGACTCACTTAACCCGTTCTTTTTTTCAGCTATACTTTCCATCTCAGCTCGATAATTTTGAAATTCAAAATGGTGAAACTACTCTTTACAAGGCAACAACACTTGAACGGATTCATCAAATGCCATCAAGAAAACCAATCTCAGATTACAAAGCTTTCTGAAAGAAAACAGAATCTGAGATCCTTTAATTTAATGTTTGGTTCTTGGATGGGATTCTATAGACAAGAATCAATGGGGTACTGAACAAGAGTTTGAAGGCATCTGATTTTATTCTCTGTTTTTTATATGTGGGTCTGCAATTTCTTATTTCAAATTTTAAGGTAATTGTCAAATGGCCAGTCGCCAACGTCTCTCTCCCCCTGACCACTGACCCCACTTTCAAAATACTCCTATTATTATTAAAAATTAAATTAAAATAATAGGGGTATTAATTACAGCCGTAGGGGTGACGGATATGTCAATAAATATTTCTAGCTAAGTTTACATTTCTACCTTAATAAGAATTAGGAAATTATTACATTACCAAAAAAAACAAAAAACATGGAAACATACCTTATAGGAATGGGGAAATTATTACATTACCCAAAAAACAAAAATCATGGAAACTACGAAAGATTTACATTTCTGTCTTATTAGGAGATTATCAAATTAATTGGTTGAAAGTCCAGGGAGCTGTTTGAGGAAATTAATTAGTTGTGTTTTATTTAATCTCGTGCATTATTTTTTACCAAATTCCTATGAAAATGATCATATAACTAAAAGATCATTTTTAGTGAATTATATAACCTTGCCGAAATGTTCTACAATGTTAGTTAATCTGGATTTTCTAACTAGTAGTGACCGTTCATGTGTCTAGGAGCGGAGCTAGCACAAGTCCTGAGAGTTCGGTCGAAATTAGTAATTTTGGTTCAAATCCTGTATTTGTTTTAAAAGTATTATTAAATATATATAAATTATTAATTTAGAACTCAATAACATAAACAGACTAGAATCAAGAACCCACAAATTTCAAATTTTGGCTCCGCCTTTGCATATGTCCATTTTTCCTTAAACAAGATATGCTAAAATTAAGGGTTAATGACAACCAATGGTAAAGTTGAAGTAAGGTCAAAGAAAAAGAACGTTAAACTTCATATATATATATATATATATATATATATATAAAACTATATAGTTATATAGTTAACGTAATTGACTGAATACATACGTATATATATAGTTAACGTAATTGACTGAATACATACGATAACATACAACTGTGAGGCTGTGCCTCCTCTTTTTTGAACCCGTTTGGCCATAGATTTTACCTATATTTTGGCAAAATTCCAAATCTCAAATCTCAATTGGAGCAAATATCACTATTATTTTTTTTTTAAATTGCCCCAAACTTTTGTATTTTATAAAAGAGCCCACCATTTATTATTTTGTAATAATGTTGCCTCGTCTTCTCGGTCACCTGATAGTGTATTATGTAGTTCATTATAAAAATGATAATTTTGTATCAGATTTATTTATGTTCAGGACTATGGTTTGCGATAATATAATGAATGTTATTGATAATAGTATTGTTGGGTTTTTGTGATAGTTTTTAAAACTTGTGGGTATAAGTCATGTTTCATGTTTTTCCAAACCAAATTTCACCCAAAACATATGTCCAAACACATTTTCATCTTCAAACCAAACTTCACCCAAATCAGATTTTTCAGAATAAATTTNTGGAAAAATGTTTTGAAAACTGATGTCCAAACACATTTTCATCTTCAAACCAAACTTTACCTAAATCAGATTTTTCATAACAAATTTGGAAATCTATGCCCAAACGCTAATCGTATAAATTTAAAAGTGAAAAGAATTTATGTTGAGAATGCAATAACGGGACATTAAATTGCTAGTCGCGTAGTATGTGTGTAACTTTGACGAAATTACTTTAGATCTGTCCATAAAATGGTACACTTTATTTACTTTAACTATTTTCAAGTTGTCACACGTTAGCTTCGTGGATTCCCAGTCTAGTCTAAGACAATTTGAGGTTAATCCATTACTACATACACAATGAACGTTTACAAAGAGACACAGAGCCAATATTTGAATTTTATAAGTTCTTCAATGGTAGAATAGTGAACTCAAACGTTAGTGATTAGATGCAAAATTCAATTTTTTTAAAACCTATTTAGGTGAATTTTTTATCACAGAGAGAGAACTAGTAATACAAGAAAGTAAACAATTGAAGAGGAGAAATTTTATATTCAAGGTACTTAGGTTTGAGAAGTAAAACTTTTTAGGTGGACATGATTAATGAAGAGGATATATTTTATAATCAATGAAGAGGATATATTTAGTTATGTACGTGAATACATTTTGTTCCATGTCGGAGGAGCGTTCCATTCAATGGAGTCTCAAGTTCCACATTATTTTGGTGCCTATGCAAGATTTTAATTACTTTCACATGGCATAATCCCGGGGAAACAGACTTTAGAATTTTCCGTTGAAATTACTCAAAAACCGTGATATTTATACCAATTCCAGAAAATCAGATAAACTCAAATTATTACTATTATTATTATTGGAGAAGCAAAATAAAAATAAAAATGAGAGGTTTGAAATTCGACCTGCTCCACTTATTCACCTAACCGTGACCTATATGTTTGAATTCTAGAGCATATACACAAGTAGATTGTTTATAAAACTGATAATAATTAAATTTGTACGCGGTTTAAAGGATACATGCTTTAATTTAACATAATTAATCAAAAACAGTAAGTAATTGAATTGAAATGAGATAAAACGATCAAACCAATAAGGCGAAGTAATTAAGCCTTGCGTTAGGCTAAATGTTAATGGTCGGTTTTAGTCGAGCCCTCTAGATAGAGCCCGGTTCCAACTAAATGGATGAAAGCTGAAGAGCACTTAAACAATAGCTAAAAGCCTAAATAAACTTTATTGCTTTAATAAGGGTGTCAACATTGACCAAAAAATAAAAGGGTTCTCCTCTTTATCTAGTAGAGGAGTTTTAACCCTAATATATGTTTAAATAAGGTAAAAATCGGTTCTCCCTTTTTTTCCACTTTTTTCCACGAAAATACGATCTATAGCATATACCGAGCGCGATCCATGCCGCAGTATCCGGCTGATGGCGGATATTTCGGCTCCTCGTTTTGTCTCTTTTAACCGTCTTTCCTCTACCCTCGATCTTTTATCTTACTCGAGCCTGATTCTTTCCGGGTTCGGCCATGCCCGAGACTCGTTGTATCGTTCGTCCCTGGTTCCAATCTATGAGTACCTTCAGTCTCACTCGAGCTAGTAACAAATAACGTCGTTCCTCGTTTCACAGTGGGATATCGGGGGTAACTTTATCCTAATTTTATCTGTATACACAAATAACAGTTACGAGCTTCTGGCATATATATATATATATATATATATATATATATGCGGAGTCCGGGCGAAGGGCCGGACCACAAGGAGCAACATTACCCTACATTTCTGCAAGAGGTTGTTTTTACGGTTTGAACACGTGACCTCCTGGTCATATGACAATAACTTTACTAGTTACGCCAAAGCTCATTTTCTCTAGGGGGAAAATAAATGTAATGAAAAGAATTACACAAAGTTGGGGTATGTTTGTAGTGTTGAAGCTCGAGGTTGGACACGGATTGACTATTTGTCCTAATTCCTCAATTAAATTACTGATTAATTTGAACTAGTCGGCTGATCATAAAAGAAAGTGAGGCCATTAGGAGGGGGCTGCTTGGACTATCTACTAGTCTCTTTTTCTAATAGTGTATTAGGATTAGCCCCTTCGTGACTTGATTTTCATGAGATATTTAAATATATATGTATTCTTCTTGATTTCTCAATAAGCTTTTGTTGGTCGCCTGAAAACAAGGCCTATGAGCTGTTGACCATTTCAGTAACAAATAATTAATCAATAATAATTAAAAAGAGTACTAAGTGATGAATGAGTTTAACTTAAATTAATCAAGAAAAAGAAAGGAATACCCGTAGTACTTGTGACCTCGTATAACCAAATAATCATTGGAGGTCCTAAGGTTTTCGTACCCGAATAATCAGGAAATGGTCAATTTGATACAAAGATGGGAAAGAAACGATATTTTGCAAAAGCTATGAAACCAAAATTGAAACTAATATAAAAACTACAACAAACTAATAAAGATTTAATAATAGGCATTAGAAATGCTTATTTGTTGTAAAAATATTTGTTGCTAGCTTTCTTCTCTTCGTCATTAGACCGAATATACTGAAGCTGGGTTAAAGCTTATCTTGCAAACCAGTGGAGATATGGTATTCTCGTATATTAGTTTTTTTTTTTTTTAAAAAAAATCTGATTTCAGAATGCACCAAAAGAAAAGAAGTAATTTCGTCCTAAAGATTGAACTCGCAAGAACGAAAATGTAACTAATCTTTCATCTTTGTCGCTCTTTCTCTTCCTTCAAATAAAGTAAACACTGCAAAAGAATATAAAAAAACACAGGAAAGGAAATAAAAAAAATGGGAATATAATAGTACTCCCTCTGAACTACATTAATTGATTTTTTGGTATTCTTTTTGTGGTCCACGATATTTGATTTTCTCTAGATATCAAGAAGGAATAACTTTTTTTTTTCAAAGTTGCCCTTGGAATAAAGAATCTAGGAGTATTTGTTATATTTTCAATGAACAAAATAAGGTTAATACAATCAATTTTATTGTTAATTAATATTAAATGGTGAATTCTTTAATATGTGTGAAAATAATTAAAAAATTCAATTAAAGTCGAGAAGAGGAAAATTAAAAGTTAAAGTGTATCAACGGACTACAAAACGTGCATGAGAGTTGATGCGCTTTAATTGAAAGTTGAAACTTGCAAGCACAAAAGGAGAAGTAGCTAGAGAACTGCAAAAGTCCCAACGGGTAGATGATTTACTGGTTTAAAAGTTTTGTTTACTTGAACCAAAGTTGGAAAAGATTACCCCAAAAAGAAAAAGGCAAAAACTTCACGTCCTTTCTTCTTTACCGTTAATCAGGAAAAAGCCAAAAAGTCACGCCATCTATATTAAATTTTAGGTATGTAAATAGTGCTTCCTTTTACTTTCCCAAATAGACTAGAGAAAGAGAATCTACAAATGGTAAATTCACTGACCGTTGCTTGCCATTAAAAGTAGAATGAGCAATGCCACAAGTCTACAACTTCGCACCCAGTGGTGGAGTTGCTGTGAGTTCATCAGTTGAACACATTGTTCGAATTATGAATAAACATAAAAATAA